GGTGTGTGTGTGTGTGTGTGTGTGTGTGTGTGTGTGTGTGTGTGTGTGTGTGTGTGTGTGTGTGTGTGGACGGGGGGAGAGGGGGGAGAGGGGGGAGGAGGCGGCAACCAGTCGGCAACAAATTGCATTGGAAAAGATTCAAAAAATAATGAAAAGGATTGGGGAAATAAGTCAAAATTTGGTGCAGAAAGAATCGTCCGGGGTTGGCCTTCGAGTCACCTGTTGAAATCGGGACAATACAGAGAAGATTAGCATGGCCCATTCCACCGCTAGGATGACACGCGCATGTGTGTGTGTGTGTTTGGGGGGGGAGGGGGGAGGCGGCAGCAACCAGTCAGCAAATAAGTCAAAATTTGGTGCAGTAAGAATCTTCTGAGGTTGGCCTTCGAGTCATCAGTTGAATTCGGGACAATACAGAGAAGATTGGTATGGCCCATCCCGCCGCAAGCATGGCACGCATGAATCAGCTAGAATGGTAGGTTCGTTCAGTGGTGCGGAACTCGGTTTGGAAACTTTGTCATGATTAGGTGAGAAGTTCTGAGGTCGACTGCTTTTAGGAAAATGCCCGTCAGTAAGGAATGACAAGGAGGCTTGACGGCTCTTCACCGTCCGGACGTTGTTATTAGCCGTTTTTTTGTGGAGCTGACAAGGAACTGTATGCATTCTTTTACATTCTTCTGTGTGCGGGAGTGTTGGCCGGCATACTCGATTTTGTGGTTTGCGCTTCCGTCCATGCCTTCTTTTCCAGGCTTCGCTGTGTGCGAATGTTGGCCCTTGTACCTGGCTTGTGGCCAATTGAATTAGCAAAAGATACATTGTAGAAGTCCAGTGAATGGTACACACATCGAGTTGGTGATGGAGGGATCATGAGTTCTAGTCCTGACAGATAACCTAATAATGCTGATGGCTATCCCTCCTGTCCGCCTTTTTATTATACGATAAAAAGGAACGTTTGCTGTTTTATTTGCTGCCTTATGCTTAGCTTGTCATCTTTGTCTTCGGTCCCTTCGTTGGGACTTAGATTGGTGTTGACGATCTCCAGGCTGCGTTGACATTTTGTTTGCATCCTTTGTTGGTCGTTCAATTATCGATCGATGATCTTCGTGGCTGCTTGCCCTTTCTTTGGGTGGGTTCGATTGTCTCTGTGGGATCTCAGAAATTCGAGGAAGTAATTGTGTCTTGCATTCCCCGGGAGGGAAAGTCGTCATGGAAGGAGCTTCAAATCCCGTGTACGTTTATCTGGAATGACTGGTCAGCTGCTGGAAATCTGGCTCAACCAACGAGAATCTTTGGGCTGAGGGTACCAGATAAGACACATTTGTTTATTGCGCTCCATCAGGAAGATCCTCGACTGTAAGTCCTCAAATATGCTGCCTCGCAACCATTTATTTGTATTTCTGTGGAGTTTTGATATTTGAAGCCACAGTGCTGCACACCTTGCAAAAGGAGGGAAAGAGTGACATGTTATGATCCTGGCCAATTCCGAAGTACAATGCCATCCAATTGCAAAAAGAAATGAATGAACTTGAGAGGAGACAGAGGGAATGAAGAAGAAGAAGAAGAAAGAAAGAAGAAGATGATGTACACCAGCATAGACCAATAATGATAATGCTCTTCTTCTTCGCCAACCACTCTCCACCTCCTTATCTCCACCCCTCTTATTCAATCAAGAAGTAATAATAATAATGTTGAATGGCTGAGCCAGAAACAATGTCCGAATCCCTCTTCTACTGCAGGTATCACATGAGGTCCACCATAGCCATGGCACCCTTCTCCTTCACCTTCTCGAAGCCCTAGGCCATGGCGGACTGCTAGGGCCTTGGCCCGATGTGCAGAAGACAACTCGAGCAGCTATGGCTGCTCTAGCTCAGGCCGCCATGCCTGACTCTGCCTCGAAGCTTCTTGGTTCAGCTCTACCCCCGCTGGGGCCTTCTTGCTGCAGCGACCCCAAAATGATGAAGATGGCAACCACCAAAGCCAGGTAAGTACCTCTGGCGCTCCTCCCTTCCCAGGCCTTGTTTTCCTTCTCCCCATATCCTTGCTCCTTCCCCAGCAGCGCTGCTCCAAGCTAGCGCTGCTCCAGCCAGCGCTCCAACCACTGTGTCACCAAACTTGCACACCGACAATGAGGAGGATCACCTTGCTCCTCCTGGAGATATAGCGGCCTGCTTGCCTCTTGGTGAGCGACTTCCTAGGCCGCGCGGCCTCCAAGCAACCGGTACATCCTCCCTTTCCGAGGGAAACATCGTTGCAGACTCTGATACTGCCCGTACAGGCCCTAGACTCAGACTGGTTGGACTGGTACCTGCCTAGACCTAGCCTACAACTACCGGGCCTCTTAAAAGATGCCAACTTTTGTCTTCTTCTGCTTGGCCTCAAATACCCGGCACATCTCCCTTTACTTGGTGTGGTACCGGCCTACCTGCTACTTGGGTGTTTTCCGCTGCTCTGAGTGTCACGGGCTCTTTCCCTGCCACTTGAGTGTTTTCCCCCCTTCAACCCTCAATGTCACAGCCTCAGGTAAGTACCGGCCCTTCGGGCCTTCCGAACAACCAAGTGCCCTTGCAGGTCACACACACACTCAAGCCGACAAGCACTGAGACAGGCATGCAGACCAGCAAGCATGCACCCCACACTTAGAAAACTCAGCAAAAAGCTGGAAACTCAGTAAGGCATACATTCCATGAGCGAAACTCAGAATCAGCTGTGTGTCTCAGTCCGTGTTTGGCGGGTCATTACAGACATGCCGAGCGGCAAACAATCTAGCGTTTAAAATTTAAACTCTGCGCCAGACTTGTTGTTTGGAATGCGTGAAAGTTCATGGAATGATGGAACTCCTTAAATTGGTTTTCAACTTTTCACGTCGTGAGGCACTTCACTTGGTATCGAATCATACTTGCGGTCTCCATAGATGGACATATGGAGCGCACTGAAAATAAAATAAAATAAAATATAGGGAGGTTTTGCAAACAGTTTGTGGGATGTCACTCTTTGACCAGTGCAGCATCTTGTTTTGCTGTCCGCATGCACACCACACAGTATGCAGGCAGCTACTGGCAGGGTGCCAAACAGCTGAATGAAAGGTTGAACTGGGTCTCTCTTAGGTCCTCTCCAATTAGCTAAATGAACGGTTGGATGACTGGGTGTTATGTCCTTGCGTGGTGCCACGTAAATGAAAGGTTGAAATGCGTCTTATGTCCCAACAAGGTGCCGCTGAGCGAAATGAGAGGTTAAACCAGATCTTACGTCCTTGCAAAGTGTCGGTCAGCTGAATGAAGGGTTCAACTGGGTCGTTGTTGTTTGCTAACCTCCCGTTTTTCTTTCGAAATGCACGGTACGTCTCATGATGGCAAAGGCACATTCTGAAAAAAGAGATCTTGCACATGTGGCCCAGGTGGAACAAGGTGTCTTCTTTCCTCTGCCGTCCCTGGTGTGCATGTTGTCTAGCAGCAGAACACAGCTCTGACGTCTGCTGTGTCCACTGGTGTCTACATTGTCCGGGCAATGGTACAAAGCTGCGACAAGTTCGACAACTAGAATTTCATGGTGTGTTGCTCAGGGGTCCTTCGCCCATACGGAAGGAAGCATGAGGGTCTTCGTGTTGTATATCTGACTTGCCGGTGGAATAGGAACTGGAATGTTGCTCCCCGGAATGGATATGGAGCCAGGGCTATAAGGTCCTGTTTCTTTCTTTTTTTCCTTAAACCACCACTACCTCCGAACCTGTTTTTGCCGACCCTGATTTTCACTGCGCACCGAGTTTGGCCGAGCCGGGGCAGTTTCATCGAAGAAAGAAGGGGAAAAAAAAGAAAAAGAAAAAGAAAAAAAAGAGACTTCCCGAACGCCTTGATAACCACCAGATACATTCTATGAGGTGCTTGTGTGACTGTGCCCTCAGTGAGGGCGTGTACGGGAAAAAACAGAGAAGCAACAAAAAAAAAAAAGAAGGAATCCCTTTTCCTGTGATTAAGGGCAGATACATGATGCTACAGCAGTGAGACAGTTACGTGCCACCCGTGAAAAACGCCCTGCCTGGCTGGCAGGGCACTACAAGGATTTCAAAACAAAAAGAAAAAGAAAAACGACCTGCAATCCCTTTTCCGACATAGTGGCCAGATACATTTGTCCAAGCACTGGTATAACTTCCACCCTCGTGAGGGCCTTTCCCGACATCCCTGGAGTGGGGACTCTTAGTTTTCTTTCTTTTTTTGTTTTCTTTTTTTTCTTTTTTTTTCGTCGGCCTCCAACCCTGCCCCGAGCCCCGTGTTTTCAGGAGTGGGCTACTAGATGGACTTTGCGTTTGCCTGGGAAAGGTAGTGGTGGTTTAAAAAAAAAAGGAAAAAAGAGTTTTATGGTGTGTTCTATGCAGACACCATAGAGCGACCATTTGCTCAAGTTTAGAATCAAAAAACTAAATTTGTTTTTTTTTTTATTATCAGTAATTAATTTATCAAAACAATTCATCTATAGATTTTAGATAGATCTATCTATGTCTATAGATATAGATAGATAGATCTATAACTTGAATCAAAGATTATCAACTTGCTCCATTGATCAAAACTTCTGTTTTTTGGGTTGGTTTTGGATTTTTGTAAAGTTCTACTGAGAAAAAACAGATGAATAAGAGTTCTTTTAGGAAAATGGTGTATAACACATCTACCAGGACGAAAACCAAACACTTGCGCACCCATAGGAGGTCGAATTGAACCGAATAATATGTATTTGTTTCTTTGATGGCTGGACGATAAAGGAGCCCATGGCATGGACCTCGCCGAGGGGCGCATGCTACCTCACTGCTAAACCAAGGGAAAATTAAGTTCCCAGTCGGACGGCTTATTGTCTGCCGTTTACTGGGGCTTTCATTCATGAATCGGCAAAATGTTGGTAACCTTACGACATGTATATGACTTTTGTTAGCTGCTGTAGGAGGAGCAGAAGCGGGCAGGTCATGCTGTTTGTGCTTCGTAGACATGAGTTTGATTTTGTGCTTTGTATGTGTACAGGCTTGGTGCGAAGTGGCCATTGAAGGTCGGTGTTTGGATTCTGGACCAGAGTAGCAGTTCGGTGGCAGCGAAGAAGAGCATAGGTCCTGTTTGTCAGTTGGAAGTGGCCTTAGAACCGGGTGTGTACAAAGTTATGGTGAAGGCCTTTTCATACATGACAGAAACTGGAAAGGTGTGCAGGTTTCCTGACACAAGTGGGAAATCCCTGCCGCGACGGTTTGTTCTGACGATTCACTCTGACAAGCTGGTCATGTCCGGGCTTCTGAAGAGTGCAGCTCCAGGGAAATTTGATCGAGCCCAGTCCTTAAGTCCAGTGCTCGAGGACTTTGCGGAACCTGTTGGGATTCTCATTGGTGGTCCCATTGAGACACGACCTCCTCAATTGGAACTGGAAGAGCAGCTGTCGTACGTCTCATGTCTGGAGGCAGGCACACAACCGGAGCAATGTGCTGTCGTTCCGAAGGGGTTTATCCCTCAAAGCTATCCGTCCACGGAAGGGCTAGGGGATGCACGTACTGTTATTACAGTGGTCACCGAGGGTGCTGTGTGTGCAGAGAGAGAAATCACCCCGCACGTGGAGAGGTTATCTGAGCCGAAAGTGCTACCAGAGAGCATTCCGTACGCTTTCGAAGTTACTGATGAGACGCGTCTGGCGAGTCAGGGAGACTCAAGGGAGAAGATGATAGGATCTCGGACTGCCATAGATGAGGGTGAGGTTAGTGAATTGGGGGAGAGAGACTTCGAGCGATCTGAGGCAGCTCTCAATGAGGAAACTGTGGGTATACTCGAGCAGTCAAATGTAGCAACACTGATAAAGTCCTGGGAACTGGGCAAAGAAGTCGAGAAGCAATGGCATGCTGCCAGGCCCAAGAGGGAAGAGATGGGACCTGTAAACCTGGAAGAACGGACCGCAGAGAATGTCGGCAAGCTGTTCTTGATCTCTGGAGAACCGCTTCAGACTGTCAAATTCCAAATGCCATGGCAATCTGCTGAGGCGCTTCATCCCGAGGGTGGCGTAAATGGACATGGTGCTCTTGCCAGCCCGTCATACGACCCTCCCGCTGTCGCGAAAGGCGAACCCGCATGGATTCCTGCTGAAGATCTTTTGCCAGGGATGGAATGGCTTTGCTCCAGAACGATCCAATCTTCAGATGCTGTGCAGGGAGCGCTTGCCGACTTTTGGTTCCTGTCATCCATAGCTGTGATTGCAGAGTACAATGGCCTGGTTGAGAATGTGTTCTTGAACCAGAGAATCATTGTAAATGGAGTGGTACGGTCTCGCTTCTTCAAGAGTGGCAGGTGAGCGCCTCAGAAGGGATGTCAGGAGAACAACCTCAGAAGAGTTGTACTTTGATACCTTTTTCTCAAGAAAGGGCATAACTGTGACTTCATCTACTTTCTCACTGCTGGTTTTCGTGGTTCTTGCTGTTGTTTACGACTGTATGTCCAGCGTCCACTTATCCTTATGGTTAGGCGATTGATTGCCTGCCGAGCCGCGAGTTGTTGTGTTACAGTCCTGTACTCGTCATGCATGCAAGGCTCCAAGAGCATTACTTTTTTTTGCTCTTGACATCATCTTCATTCTCACCGGTTCGTTTCGTATGTTGTCGTTTATATGTACAGGTCAAGGCTCCATCTTCATTCTCACCGGTTCGGTTCCTCTCCTTCCATTGTCCTGTGCTTCTACGGTGGTTGCCTACCATAACACCTGTAACAGACTTTTCTTAATTCCGTTTTCTTTGTTCGCTAATATGGACTGTTGAGCCTGTGGCTTATTGTACACACAGGTTTAAACTTCAAAGCCAGCGTCAACAGCCAGGTTCTTGTGGCGCCGGCTTCATTCTTTTTTTTTCTGACGAAAACCAAGACTACTTTGGAGAAAAAACAAAAAAAAAACTACGCTATATTCTTCACTCAATATACCTCCCACCACCTACCTAACAAGGAATGATCCACACCTTGATCTACCCTCTAGCGGCAAGCTACACCAAGGGGTATGGGTTGAGCCTGTCCCCTCAGGGCTGATCCTATCCGCTCAGGGTTGAACCTAACCCCTGGCAAGTTGTGCCAATGGGTGGCATTCCCCACCAACCATCCGGAGGGACAAGCCAACTATCTCAGCTGATGAACGCACAGCGCGCCTCTGGAGGTGTGGGCCCTGTGGGGGCTCCATTGGGGGCTGTGGGGAATCGTACCCACAACCTCCTGAATGCCCGCTTTCGTGCTCTATCAACTGAGTCAGGCCGCTTGGGAGCAGCGGTCCGGCAAGTCAAGAGTACAAATTTTACTCGTGCAATGCTTCTCAACAGCACCCCCGAGACTGCCGGGCGACCGCCGGTGTACAGGGGTGCTGGCTTCATTCTATCCTGGAGACAGTGGAGCGTATCAGTCCGGTTCATCTTCCCCCAGCAGGTCTACACATGCTATGATTTAGCAAAACTTCAAACAGTTTCAGGAGACTTCACGCGTTCGCACTGGATTGGAAGCAAGCACATTGGTTGGAAACTGATCATTCACAGTTGAATCCTTGATATAACAGAATTTCTTACATCCACCTGGGTGCCCGGCTTCCCTGATTACGCAGCGCATCAAACAGAATTGAAAGTCGTGTGGTATACGACTAGAACCATCTGGCTATGGCTGAACCCTATCTCGCCACTGTCGGTACTGAAAATAACGCTGCTTCGTTCTCTTGTGCAAGCAAACTTGTGGAATGAAAATTTGTGAATTCTGACACCCACTCTTCACGTTGATGAGCTGCCTTCCCTCCCTAGGCCTATCTGGTCTTCGGAAAATCTTGATTCTTTTTTTTTTTTTTTTTGGGGGGGGGAAGATCTTGATTCTACACAGTACGAGAGCTCCTATTGTAGGAGTAGCGAACAGAATCTCTACCTAAAATGCTTGGGGCACATTCACAGGTGGTTAACAGGGACCCCCCCACCTTTCAGCTCTTGGGTTTGGGGGTCAAATTTTTATTTATTTATTTTTTTAGCCTGTTGTTGTTTTTCAAGATTGTTGTGTGCCAAATTTGGTGTCTTTTGGTGCATTAGAACATCCTCTGCTTACATTTCTGAAATTTTTGAAAATTTCTGAATTCGAATTCTGGTGAAATTTGCATGCTGTTTGGCAGTGTTTGCCAAATTCAGTGTCTTTTGGAGCATTGGAAATTCCTCTGCGTATTTTTCTTAAGTTCCCCCTCCCTCCCTCTCAAAACAGGTCCTTATGGCCCTGGCTCCATTTCCATTATGGGGAGCGTCAGTCCGGTTCCTATTCCCTCGACAAGTCAAATTGAAATACATCGTGGTACACGCTCACGCTTCCTTCTGTCTAGCGGAAGGAACCCTGACCAGCATTGATTAGTCCTGTATGGAAGGATTGACTGTCAGCTTGCCCTATCCTAGTTTCCTCTCAGAACCTTGTTGGTTCTGTCGAATAGGCTTGAGGCACGAGAAACTGGTAGGGTGTTACATCTTCGACTCACACGGGTCCTACCGGACCCGACTTAGGGCCAGAGGGACACACCAGGGCCTAAAGGTCCGACCTTTGGGGTTTACAGGCCCTAAAGGCCTGATTTTGGACTATCACCCATCGGGTAGGCCCAAACGACACTTCGTTTGGGCCTGGCGGCGCTCTTGAAGCTGCCGCCCGCCGATTGAGGCTGAACCGTCCACCTGGACGGTTCAGGGTCTGGCCTGGCCGCGCAGCATTGAGGCCAGACCRTTGCCCACCGGTATAAGTACCGGTATCCGCCTCAGTAGTGGGATCGGCCTACCGGAACTCTACCGGCACGGCATGGTCAGTGCTAGTGCACTGTTTGA